ATATATATATATTTACATACACGCAAGCATCAAAACCTGACTTTCCTTGCCCAACCACAGTAGCAGCTATTGTGCGAATGGCCATTAGGTTTACCAGAAGAGTTACCGCTGTAAGCTTCCTACAAAGGTTTTCTATAAGGTTTCTATCAGGGATTTTCTAATGCTTGCTCTAAAGGGTTGCTACCCGCAAGCGGCCAGGGCCCCATCTTTTCGTTTGGGCTCTCGAGCAGAGACGGCTGCTTGCTTTGCAGAAGAAAGGCTTCGGGGCTTCAGGCATTCCATCAGGGTTACTACCAGGATCACTATACGTCTATAAGTGTTACAATACGGGTTACTACAAGGCTTTAAAGCATGAAGGCTTTCGGAACACAGCTTAGGTGCTTGCTGGTTCCAGATTTTTTGCCAGCAGGCTTTCGACAGAGTGTTACGTGCTTTGCATTCCTCATAGAGTCATCATGTCCTGTCTTTCGTTCAGGTAGCAGGGCTTAGGGCTTCCTTGTCCTTGAAGTTGCAGTGTCCTTTCCCGAAATGCTTGCAGACCATTGGTTCTGTTTAGTGTTCTGCTCGAGTCGGGTTGCTGTTGAGACGTACTATGCAACTCCAAAATCCCCAAACCAACAAGCCTAAAACCTCAAACCCCACTCCCCGAAACCCCAAGCCGTGGGCAATAGCAGCCTCAACCTTAAAAGCCATGTAGCTCAGGTATGGGCAAGCCGAAAATCCCGGGACCCGGTGCCTACGAGCTGGCCAAGGACCCGTTCTTGGAGGTGTTAAGCTCGTCATACTTGTTTTTTTGGGCTGAACATGCATGTGTGAATGTGTGCGCGCGTGTGTGTTGGTTGTTTAGCAAAGAGCGGTCCGTCGTGATTGACCTGCACTGGATTGGCATTCTCGGCCATGGAACGAGACGAGAAGCCATGATGGTTCCACGTGCTCCGAGCAATAAAACGTTTTCTTGTAAGCCACAAGCCTAAGAAGTAGTTAGTTGTGTGTTTACGCCACGGACGTTTGCAGCATATTCAGGTCATAGCTTGGGCCGATGGCACTCTGGCAGTCTTGAGCAATTCAGCATGGCTGCCATCTGCGTGTGCGGCCTGAATTGAATCGTTCTGGGCTTCCCTGTTTCTTTTTCTTTTCTGTTTGAGACTCTATCTTTGCTGTTATAGGTTTTCCTCCAAGCATCACGTCGCATCCGTTCTAACTTCGAGATGTGTCGAAGGAGGCCGGGTCGGGTGCGTCGAAGTGGACAATCACGCCGAGGCAGGGTCGTGCTTTAGCAAGTTGAAGTTTAAACGGTTCAGTCAATAACGTGTTTAAACGTGTGTGGCAATACAGCGGATCTGAGCACGTTTGTTTAAACAGTGTCGTGCCGCCGGGGGGTGTAAACTGTGTTTTGGACATGCCAGGCAAGGTGTTTAAACGTGCATTGTTGGTCCTTGCACGACGAAGCAGGTCACACAGTGGCTGTTTGGAGTTTGGACCTAGGGTACAGCATTTTCAACGTATGCAGCGCCCGGCACCTTGACCTGTGAGGAGTGCCTCCGGTCCAAACGGTTTTCATCGCTTCGGGCTTCAACTCGAAATGTTTTGTTGTTTAAACGAACCCCGGCACGGGTTTGAGTCGAGGAGAGCGTATCAGGGTGAGAGGTGGGGGTTTGGGATATGTGAGTTTTGATCCTTTTCAGCGATTCGAGTTCTAGAGGTTTTGGGGTCTGAAGTCACAAGTTAGGTTTCAAGATTCTCTCCTAAATTGCCCATAGCAGTTATCAGGCGTGAGAAGCCGGGCGCCAGCGCTGCTGGCACCGCCGGTGCCGGCACTGGCACTGCTTCGGCGGCGACCACGGGCGGAGCCGCGGCCCCGGCTGCGCCGGTCACCGGCTTCGGCGAGACGCCGGGCCCGGGGGACTACGAGATCGAGGCGCTGGGACTCGTGGGACTCGGGGCTTCTCTGTGCTGAGTCGCCCCACGGATTCCTCGCTTCCTCCAAGAGCCTGCCATGTCCAGGCGCTGCTGGGCAAAAAATCGCCAAAGTACTCGGCAGGGAAGAAATTCGAGCCTCGCCGCCAGGATGTGGAGTTTGACTCTGACTAGTTTTGGGCTCCAGGGCTTGCATCGTATGTGCGGGTAAGCGGAGCGTGCTGACCGCATCTCAACCATCGACCGAAAGCCCAAGCCTGAAATCTCCTTCATCCGCATGCCCATATCTTGCCCTCAGACCCCAGCCTGACGCTTCAATTTTAAGCTTTGCTTTTTAAGGACTCGGGCGAGGCCGAGAAATGCCCAGGGCCTGGCGACTACTGGCAGGCCTTTGGGTCCCTGGAGCTGGGCCTTTGGCGGTGTGGCTTGGGGCTTGGGGTTCAATGTCTAGGGCCTCCAGGGTTCAGAGTTCAAGCGTCCTCTCAGGAGCTGTGGCTTTGCCCAAGGTTCCAACTCCCAAGGTCGAAACCTGCGCCGACTTCTTCCTCGCCCCAGGGTCCGATGCCCCAAAGCCTCAGCCCTACGTCTTCCGCACAACACTCTTTGAGCCCATAAATCCAGAACCTTCAGCGAAATTGCAAAATCTCCAACCCCAAACTTGGCCCTGAACAAACAGAAGCCCCTCGACCCCAAGACGCCAGAACGACATGGTGGGCAGCAAGACTCCGTCCTGGCGCTTCGGCACTTCCGGTCGTGCTTCGGCCAGGAACGAGTGCTGGCAGTTGTTTTTCTGAAGCACATCACCTGTCAGCAGGACCCAAAGGGGTAGAGAAGACCCCTAGGGGCCAGTACTGGTCCGATTGCTACTGGTACTACTCGTACCACGAGTATTTCCAGTACGACTCAAACCCAATCACTAAAAGTAGCAGCACTCGTGATGACCAGCATTACTTGTGACTATTATGCGCATGTACTGCTGCTCCGACGATGTGTCAAGTGATGCTGGCTGTGGTTGCCTTTGTCAGGATATTTGTCCTGAGCCCCGACTCACCTCAAACACAGCTTGCAGTCCACTTGAATTCTCAACTTTTCTTCTACCAATGCGAGGCACCTGTCTCATACGGTAGCTACAGTGAGTCGTATCGTGGTGGTGCTCAGAACAGAGCTTACCTAATTATAGCGAACATCATGATGACGGAGAGCACGAGAAAAGTTGTGCGCACGAGAGAAGTTGTGGGCAGCATGTTACTTATTACGCTCAGGCCATTAATATATAGCATGGTACGCAACGGAAACCTGACTTGGGACCTTGCTTGCCGATACCCACATTCGTCAGCACTGAACCCAGGCCCGGACAATGTCAGCACCGGGCAGCTTGCTACCCCGGGTCCCGGGGCTTACATGGTGGCCTCCACGGCCCGTGCCCGAGCGGAGTCCGGTCCTTCCTTTTTTTTTTCTGACATTTTCTGACCCATTGGGTGTTTTGTCTCATGCACTGACAGTTAGGATGATGATCTAGCCATGAGGCAGTTGCAGTGCCAACGGTGATAGTGGCGTCGGTAGCGCTCCGCGAATGGCCTCATCAGCAGAACGAATAGTCGCTTCCATGAGTGCAACCATCGTAATCATCCCAAGCATCATCATATCCATACGAGCTATTCGCGGTGACAGTCGCGTGAATCGTAAGATTCGAAGGTGATTTAGTAATGGAAATGCTAGTGAAGCTGCTAGTGGTACTCTGTAAAATGATTTCAACCTTACATTCATCATTACCGGACTAAAGATCATGGTAAGTTGAGCTTGGCTGAAGGCTTGTAACAGGAGTGATGATCGTAAACGGCAGGGCAGTTACAACAATAACCATGCCAGCAGCAACTACCAAGAGCACCAATCACACTGGAAGCCTCATGCTTACACTCCAACATTGAGCGAAGCGACATGGTAGGCCAGAGTCCGAGCCTCAACCTCAAAGAATCTTCCAGCGTCCTGCTTGGGTTCGCCGAGGTCGGGCAGGCTCCCTGTGCAACGCTGAATCTGGGCGGCAGACCTGCATTTGCGCCCACGTACTCTTGAATTCGTTCAAAGCAAGCTGGTCCGCTCCAAAGTTGTGGGAGCAGGGGTTGGAGTCGCTTGGATTGTGGTTGCGTCCTTGGCATTTCCCGCTCGATCCCTGCAACATCGCACTACTTGGAGTACTGACAAGCATTCTACACCAGTCTGCTTGTTGTGGCATGCTACGAACTTCTGTCTCGTGCTTAGCTCGAGTTTCCATACACACTCTGAGCCCATCTCGTTCTGCCCGAGGAAAGGGCGACACGCCGGCTCGAGACCTGCGCCGCTACCCGGCCCAGGCCGGATGAGCCTTCGACCTTTGACCCGGCCACCCAAAGCCGCAAGGGCCCTAAGGGCCCTGAGACCTCCGAAATAAAACTCCGGCTTCCACACGATTTCATGGGGAAACTTCCCAAAAATGGAAGCTTCAGCTTTTGATGGACAGTGCGGCCTTGCAGTCATGTCGAGTTCCGCTCCAGGGCTCTCCTCCGCGCTTTGCAGGGCTGTCGTTCCAGAGCACTGCCATAAAGATCGCCGTAGTCACCGCCACCGCAACTACGACAACAACGACTACTACTTCTGCATTGCTACTGCTATACAGCTGCTAGTGAAACCCCATGTGGAGAGCTTATTTCTAGCCTCGGCGATAGCAGGATTCTAGCAGGCGGAAGCAGGTCGGCGAGTGTGATACATGTCTTCGTATTCACGAAGCATCCTAGACCTTCGAACCTTTGCTTCCCAGGCGTAAGCTCAACTCTCTAGCCCCATGGTGTCCAACTCTCCAACATTCTCCCCGCTTTGTGTAGCAGAAGATCCCCTCCCACATGTCCCCACAGCCGAATTCTTGAGTCCGTGCAACCGGGTATTCCCCCTACAAGTTGCCCGACAGGAGCTCATGGTGGGCACTACTCATCCTTTGGCCACTTGGCCGAGTCGCTTCAGGGTGAGTCCTGCCTGTGCAAGGTTCTGGAGTTGAAACCCGCAAAAATCACCCCGGCTTTATGAAGGCATGGGCAAGTATCCAAGACGTATTGTGCCCATGAATTCCCAGTCGTCCTAAACAGCAAAGAACACAACGAAGAACAAGATAAGTCAAAGACGTATAGAGGACCCAGGCCTCGACACTGTGTAGACGTATGACGGTTTGAGCTGGCCAATTTATTTGTGGGATCGGATGCTTGTTCTTTCTTCCTGGTGGGATTCCTTATGTGTGGTTCTTATGCCGCCCTGCAAGTCTCGAGTCGAACCGTTTTCAGCACATTATAACAAGGCAGGAGTGGCGTTCTTCTAGCCTCTGTAGGGCTTGCATCACGTACCCGTATCTCCGAAGAACGCCTGAGGGCTCCGTGAGTCAACTCCCCAGACCCTGCCTGCCGCAATGGAACGCTAGCAATCTTCAGGCTGTAATGAACTGGGCTCAAGGTTTGGGAGTTATGGCGTCCATGTTCTTCAATCGCCGGTTTGAGGTTGAGGGAGGCGTCGGCGGCATCGGCCTTCTTCAATGAATTCATTTCGTAATTGGGCGATTGTTCGGAGCCTCCTTCTTTCCCAGCCCCGAGTGTTCGAAGCATTAATTCTTGAGTCCCTTAATACCTTAACTGCTAAGATCCAAAATCAGAGGCTGAGAGACTCCGGGCGCTTGCTCTGGCCTCGGTACGTTTGAGTTGATATTGGAGGGTCTGGGCAAGTGGACATGATAACATAGACGATCGGAAGACGGATAAGACGGCTAATGACAAGTCACTATCGAGAGGCTAACTATTTCGCAAGCCAGCGGTATCAATTGCAGCAGGACTAGCTCCGGTATTAGGCAAAGCAACAACAGCATTCCTGATGAACCAAAGCAGTTGTGATACCATCGCAATACCAGCTGTCAACAACACTGCGGCTGATGATTCTGACTATGACGATTGCCGTTCTTCTGCTGTTGCTGCTGACACGGCGACAAGCACTGCCAATTCTCCTCTTGTCCTCCTCGTCCCCTCCGTCCTTTGTTCGACGTCTTCGACTGCGACGCCTGCGGCGCAGCATCGCCACTACGTAATGCAAAATAGACGGAGGACGAGTCACCGTGACTGCTCCAACCTGCGATCTGAAGCTGAAGAGGCCTTACCTGGGGAAACCTTGAAAAGGTCTCCGGTCAGACCCAATGTCTCACCAGGCAAAAGCCGGTCTGCCGTCGCAGCTGCAGCAAGCAACTTCCGGAGCAGTCCAGTTTTGGGCCTCCTGTGAGAATGTTTTGTGCGTGGTGCAGTGATGACGGCTGTGGCGACTGTTTAAGAATGACCCAGTTGGGTTCTCGAAGGTGCAGGCCACAAACGATTGGTGGTCCAGGTTCCCAAACCGAGGCCGAGTTTTGGAGGAAAGTGGATTTCGGGTAGGCTGGGATCGGGTTTAGGGCTTAGGGTTTAAGGTTTAGGGATCTCCCACCCTTTGTCAACCTTCGCCATGAACCCGGCAGGGTCAAAGGCCTAAAGCGGCCTCGTCGGTGAGTTGATTTCGTAGTTCGTCAGGGAATCGGCATTGGGGCCACAGGCAGTCGGTGGTACCTGGCACGACGGCAGACCGAATGCCGCAGGACGATAAGTCAAGAGACCATTGAACGATGGGGTTCTTTCGTTCGAAGGCGCGTTGGCTCGGTCGTAGTCATTAACATGGGATCGCCAAGAGAAAGGGACCTCACTAGCAAACTCAATGACAAGCCCAATGCCGCGTTTCCACATACCCGTGGCAGGTTTCGTCACCAGTAGCACGCGGGCGCCAGGAAGCCAAACCCGAAACCACCTTTCGAGACCCGGCGGCTTTCAGAACCCTGGGCCCCTCCCGAACCCGAACCCGAAGCCTTTCCTGGGTCTCGCCTTGCTCGCATGAACAGCATGCACGCGAGCGCCGTCCGCAGGGAAAGCTAAGTCTGCTTGCGGGGACGTGGGGGGAACGTGTAGTTGATAGCTGTCTTAGCAAGAACGGGGAGTTGGCGGCTTGAGGAGGGTGTGGATTTTGTGAGGGTTTCATGTTTAATTAGGCTTGCGGGTTGTCAGGCCCAAGATGCAGGATTTAGGGGAGAGGGCTCCGAGGATTTTAGTGCAGAGAGTTGCAGTTTAGCGGTCCATTGTTCAAGATCATGTGCCTTTCAATGATGTGAGCTCTTAGCCCTTCAGCCGGCAAAGTCCCATAGACCTTATAAGCCAAGTGAGCCCCAAACCCTAGCGCAGAAACCACCTAAAGTTCAACTGCAATGTTGTTCCACACTCCTTCGATCGAGCTTGGGAAGGCCTCCAAACATGCAGGCTCACAGCAGGGCGTGGGCTTTCAGGACCCCAGCCGAAAACCCCAAATCTTAAAGCCTAAGAAACCACCGAGAGATTAGACCCAAACCAAACCCTTTACTAAGCCCCAAACCAACTGTCCACTGGCTGCGCCCCTGAACCGGCCTTCCTATGGCAACCGGCGAAGGCCCAGCTTGGCAGAGTCTTGAAGTCCCGGATCGATCTTGCTTTTTCTGGGTCGATGTTTTGAGCTCAGCTTGGTTTCAGCTTTCTAGCTGAATACTGTCATGAACGGTCGTGCAGGCCAGAGCAGTCTGGGACCCGGGATGCCTTAGTAGAGAGGGCTTTTCAAGACGTCCCTATGCGTTTTAAGAGGTTGTTACAACGGCGGGAAAGCGACAGCCAGAACATTAGCAATGGTTGTCGATGGCAGCCGTCTGACAATGGTTATACTGATGATGCTAGGGGCAGTATTGCTGTCGGCCAGGACTATTTTAGAAAGTCGGTGTGGTAGCGAAAAGGCAGCAGTACCAATGCCAGCAGTGACAGTAGGAATTCTAGCAGTTGCAGCTGCATCTGCCAAACTTGCAACAGTAGGCACGACAACAGCAACAGGCACAACTATACTATACTGGTGACTAGTGGCAGTTCGAAGAACAATCGGCGGTGCTCCACATCACATCGCTCTTCCCCTCAACCAGCAAACCTGCTGCTGGAATTCCTGTGCTGTCGGCTCGGTGTGGTAGTACCTCCCTTGGGCCTACTCGGAGGTCGAGGCGGGCCGTTGACATGCACTGAACAGCGGCTTGAGGGTTTGGCATAGGTTTTGGCATCAGAATACAGTACAATATCGTATAATACGCTAAAGTATAGTATAGTGTAGCAGAATATCATATAAGATCATGCAATACCATATGATGTAGTCTAATCTTATAGAATGTAATAAGACATAAGATATAATCTCATATCATATAATCTGTAATATACTACCAAATTACTTGGGGTTTGAGACCCAGGCCTTAGTGCTGAGGAGGTGGGCCTTGGAGGTGAGATTATGTGAAAATTGGGGCTGTGGTGAGGGCTTGGGTTTGGGCTTCTCAGTTTAGTCGTGGGGTTAGGCTTCAGGGCTTAAGGTTTAGGGTTTAGGGCTTAGGGCTTAGGGTTTAGGGTTCAGGGTTGACTTAGCGCCTGAGCCTCGGGTTTCGGCTTCAGGTGTGAAGCCGACGGCGTCCGAGTGATGGCAGTTTGAAGCTCGAGATCTGTACCGATAGCGTTCACAGTGAGGCCATGCCGCAGGGCTTCAAGATTCCAAGAGCTCTGCGATGGGCAAGCCTAAAGAAGGCATTATTCCTTCGGGTTCCTAGGTCCTAGTCCTATTTTAAACTATCATGTGCCCCAAACCGAAAAATCGGAGGCGATGAATTGGTCGCCGCTGACGGCCGAGTGCTCCCAGGCGGTTGCGGACGTCCTGAAGGATGTTGCGGCTTGGCACAGAGCCGAAGCCAAGAGCAAAGAAAGAGGGGACATGTCGCAAGGTTGACGATTCTGACGATGATCAAGGACAAGATTAGAACGGAGACAAGATGAGGGTTCCCATGGCATCAAGATGATGTTTCTGATGATAACGAAGAGATGGTCGCGGTGATGGTTGTGATGATGGTGAAATGGACGATGATGAATATCGGTACTCAGGAGAGGTGGGAATGATAATCACGTCCGGATGTCTCTACGACGCATTGACTCTCGAGCGCGACCGCCACTTCTACGAAGACTACCAACACCACCACCAATCTGGCTCCCGCCACGCTCCTCCTCCTCCTCCTCCTCCTCGGAACTACTCCGACTTCTGCTTCTACTTCTCCTTCTTCTGCTTCTGCTCCCACTCCCTCGCGATGCCGCTGTCGCGATTAATTTCTGCAGCTGCTTCTTTGGCTACTACGACGACGACGCCTCCACGGCGACGGCGCACGCCATCGCCAACGTGGCCACTGCCATGTCGGACAACAAGGGTTCTGGCAAGAACCATGCGCATGATCACGATCCCAATCGTAATCAGAGCTACCATCTCTGAGACCTATCCGGGCATGTACGTGGGCTGACATGCAGAAACCTAGACGGACACGGGGTGAGACTGAATCTGTTCTAGTTGCTATAGGGTATTGGTGCCAAGCAAGCTGACCGAAGCGAAGAATCCGGTAAGAACCCGTGGAAGAAGCTGAGCATCTGGATTTAGTAGTTGTTCCTGCCCAGAATTCCCCCCCAGAATCCTATACTGCTTGATTCACTGCCGGCTTGAAGCCCTGTATGAAGCCTGACAGCTTGAACCTTCAAATGGGTTTTTAGGCCTGAGACCCAAACGCCCAGAGCCCGGAGCTCCAAGATACCCAGGCACAGCAGCGCCCGAAGGACCCTGGGCTTGGGGGGCACCCAGCTTGCAGTCTCCAGCTGTTGGTTCGGATTGTTGCTTTTGGTTGGGTTGGGCCCTTAAGCTGTGCTTAATGGGCTAAACGTTATTGTTTTCAGGAGTGTTCATTCTTGGCGTTTAGGCTCATGCTTTCTTGCGTATACAAGCATGACGATGAAGGACCTCTTCGGCTTCGTCATAGCAGAGCTCGAGAGGAAGAGCACGCTGGATCCGAGTGAATTCGAAGCCCACTTCTTGGAATGCCCCTTGCTGGTCACTCAGGCCCTTCTTGCCACGATGCCAGTAACTCTAAACATCCCTAAACCCTGCCCTAAACGCTAAAGCCCTAAAGGTCCCGATGCCTGGGACCCTAAATCCGGTCGTAAACCTTGGCTTCTTGGGTTGTGACAGCTCTGGGCCCTCGAAGGCACTGCTTCTAAACACCACCGTTTTGACCCATCGTAAAGCCATGAAGCCCTGGTACAAGCCTAAAATGCTTACAACGCCTTATAAAACCCTATGAAACCCGATCCGATGAGACACCCCGTAATCCGTAAACGAGGCAAGCGGCAATCTCGCACCTACGTTCTGGAAGACCGGTGTCCTTCCAACGAGGATCCCATGGTCTGGGTTCCCATGCGCCCGGGGCCCAGGGCTGTAGGACTTTCAGGGACTCGGGGATCGGGTGAATCTGGGATCTTGGACTTGCAGGGTTTGGGATACGGGGATCCGGTGAATCTGGGATCTTGGGTTTCACGACGGCCAGCCGAGCCCGCAAGGCCCTGGCCTGCACCCCTCTAAACCCTCAGAGCCTAGACCCCTAAACCCTAAACCCTAAACCCTAAACCCCTCAAGAAAAACCCCGAAAACCCTTCTGAAAGCTCCGAGGCTACAACGACGATACCATCCTGCTGAAGCAGCAGAGGCTGGCCCATGAGCTTTGGATGGACGTCCTGTCCGTCGAGGCCTTGGGAGCCGGGAAGCCAATTTTGGCCTTCGGGTCCAGTTTTTTTGGGTTTAGAGTTTAGGGTTTAGGGCTTAGGGTTTAGGTTTTGAGGGTTTAGTTTTTCTTTTGTTTGGTTTCGGAGTCTAGATTGTAGGACTTGGGGTTTATGAAGACTTCGGTTCCCTGGTGTCGGGTTTAGGACGCTAAGGCTCGTGTTTTTTCGCCTTGATGTTCTTGCGGTTCTTTTCAGGGCCATTAGAAGAGTACTAGAAGGGTAGCAGAGGGTTACTGTAAGGGTCATTATAAGTATAAGGGTACTGTAAGGGTCATCAAAATAAGGGTTTACCATAAGGCCCCAAGGGTTACTGCAAGGGATCCTTTGGGTCTACGGGGTCAGGAGCTCCCGACCGGCAAGGAGCTCTTTGACAGGCGGGGCCCGCAGCTGGGAAGTGGGTGTGGTTGCACCTGGTGTCAGGGTTCCGGGTTTAGGGTTTCGGGCTGTAGGTTCGGGTTACATGTTACCTTTCATGTCAATTTTTCGTGTGGCATGAGATACCATGTTGCACACTGGCTCCTCTTTGAGTTTCACTGCTGCCTTTCAGTGCTTTCACGGGCAATTCTGCGTCGTGTTCAGGATGCAGGCTGCGAAGACGCTACACGCTAACCTTTTCCCTCTCTACACCCGAAGCCCCAAACCCTCAGCCCTTTGCCCTTGAACCCTAAAACACCCAATATCCTTAAACTCCCAACTCAACCGTAATTCCTAAAGCAGTGAGCCGTCCCTGAAACTCTCAGGTTCAGACTTGGCTGTTTGGGGCTTGGAGCTTCGGGTTCGGGAGTCCAGCTTGGGGCTTTTCGGGGAAGCTGTTTTCACGTACACTGTGGGGTTGGAGATGGCTTAGGGTGTTGGACATGACATGGCGTGCTTTGCATAATACATATACAATAAATATACTACACAGAGTCTGATGATACATTGCAGGGCCCTGGGCCCAAAAGCAGCCACTCAACCCACAGTCACAGAACCCAAACCCCAACGCAGGCCTCAAACCATGAGCTTTCAACACCCGATGTACCAAACCCCAAAACCCACCCAAAAATCTCTAAACCCCAACCAAAATCCCAAGCCCCTAGAGCCCTTGAGCTTCAAGTTACAGTACTCTGTAAAGCCGGGCACAGACCGACAAGAAGCACTCAGCAACAGCATCCTTGCCTTCAAAGCTCATGCGGAAATGCAGGGCACTCGTCGCTTATCCTGAGCTGAACTACTTGCGGGACTCCCCAGCCGAGGCAGTAAACTCTGGTCTGCTGGGTTTCGGAGTTTAGAGCCTCGGAGGCCGTGTCAGCTTTCTGCATTGGTCCGCAACCTCGCAGTCCCAGTCCCGGTTTTCCAGTTGCAGTGGCAGTGGCGGGCAGTAGTCGTTGTGGTGGTGCTGCTGGCAGTGGTCATGGTAGTGGTAGTGGCGGTGGTGGTGGTGGTAGTGGTCATGGTAGTGGTAGTGGTAGAGGTAGAAGCAGTAGTAGAAATGACAGTAAGATAGGTAGACAGAGATAACAAAAGGAAACCAGGATGACTTGCCCGCACCAGGCCACAGCAGCGCAGGTGGTCCGCGGACTCTGCCTTTGTTGCAGCGGCTGCCCCACGGCCCTAGAGACGAGCCTGGAGGCTGTAGCGGGGGTAGCGTTCACAGTCCAGTCCACGAGAGCACTTCGGGTTTTGGGTTTCAGAGGTTTTCAGGGAATGTGCCAAGGAGGGGACAGATGTGTAGTGTAGATATACATAAGTTCAAGCCGAGGCAGCTAAGTAGACAAAACGTGGCCGTGCATGAGCCGGAAGCCCCAAAGCACCGACAAGCATTGATGAAAGGCTTGATGTGAGGATGTCCGGCCTCGAATGTGCACCCTTAGAAAGCTTGATCCCGCAGGTCTGCATGCAGATATGCATTGTCACAAAAACTTCTGTTTTGAACCACCTCCAAGACCAGAAGTTTTGACCCAGACAGTTGAATCCCGAAACCTCCAGCAGACGAGAGTGTGGGACTAGAGCCACGGTGCCAGGATGACAGTAACTCTTTGACCTTCTCGTGCAAGGGCCTGCTCATGGGCACCAAGACCTCGTTGCTCGGTGGACGTTTGAGAATCCCAAACCCGAGGCCGGAACTCAACCAGCAAGAGGCCAAGATGCTCTGAACTTCAAATTAGCTGCATCAAGAGAACTACTGCTGCTGGCACTCGTGCTAGAAGTTGGGACTCCTTTGCGCCACTAGAACTTGCCACACGAATGGTTCTCGTGCCTTTGCCACTGGCCGCTGGTCTTCTTGCCGACACTTTTCTTCTTACCTTACCAAATCGCAAAGGCCCTACAAACCCCAGACCCTCAAGCTGTCAAGAAGCCCACGCTAAGCACCCAGGCTTTTGGAGCCATTGGCCCTGTCTCAGGAGGCTCGCGGCGCTCGGGTTTTGCAGGATTCAGGGTTCTATCCTTTACGGGTTAGAAAAAGGTTCCTGTGAGGGTTCTGAAAGAGATTTTTGTGACTTGGATTTTTGGGGGAGTAGAATTTGGGATTTAGGGAGAGTCACGGCCCAGGAATCTTCGGGCCCCTCAACCCGCCCCGAGCCATGAACCCTGCACCTGAAACTCAAAGAGCTGCAGAGGACTTATCGGCCAAGATCGAGGGCATCGAGGGGATCCTCCTCTTCGTGGCCGCAGGGCGTAATTGGTCCTTAAGCAGCGCGAGCAGCGGCTAGTTTGTGATGGCTGAGTCTACTAGCACAGCAACGGCAACAACAACTACAGCAGCAACGACAACAACAACAACCACAACCCTAGGTACGAACGACAACAGCAACAGTTGCTACCGCGGCAACAATGGCGGCAGCAGCGAAGAAGAACGACACTTGCTCCAAAGCCAACTGGCCTCTTCAAAAAGCCCGATGCCCGAACGCCCAAGAACTTGAAGCTTTCAGCCGAAGCCCTAAACTAGGGGCCAATACTAGTTTGGCGGTTCCTTCCTATAGCTATAGTCTTAGAATACCCCAAAACCCTATTCTTTTTTGTTAAGGCCCCTAATGCGTAGGACTCAGCCTCCTTGAGCCCCCAAGGCTCTCAACCTTCGGAGCTGAGGTCCTTCGGCTCCTAGGCGGCCACGAGGCCTTCTGCCGTTACTACGGCCTCTCACCGGAGGCGCCGGAGAAGTCAGACGATCTAAGCGACGGGCTTGGGCTCAGGTCTTAGGGCGTAGGTCAGGCACGCTTTGTTTTGTTTTGGAGTGGGGTTCGGGATTTTATTAGTTACCGATTTTGGAGTCGATTAGGGTGTCGGCTGTTAGCGAAGCAGTAGCGAAGCAGCAACAGCTTGGTCTTCGCACCCGCCACAGCACAGGCATGTGACCGAGGCAAGCAGCAATTCTCACAAGCGTCACAGACCATAAAATCGTCTGGCTGATCGTAGTCGGCTTTGAATCGTAAGAAGCATGAAAGGCTTTGTAGTACCCATGCATATAACACTAGTCATCGCAATTTTCCGTCCTACCGCAATCGCCATCATCCCTATCTTCGTCATCATCACGACGAAGAAAACTGATGTCAATAGCAGCAGCGCTGAGAGTATGACTAGCTGAAGCCTCCAAACCCAAGCCGAGCAACAGTGAGGCGCACACAGGCAGCAAAGCCCTGGATTCTGCTGAGACCTTATCTGGCAATCTCCAATCTGCGGAAGATGGGCACCCGGGTTCTTTCTAGAGGAACTCCGAAAGCCTAGGACCTAAACCCTCCCGGTTTCGTTTGTGCGGCACAGGATCCGTCGGCAGTGGCCGTTGCCGGAGCCCGAGCGAAAGCTAAGAGTGGGTTTGTTCTGGCTTTAATCGTTGTCTGTCAGTTGGTATACTATACTTGAGCAGACAAGAAACAGTTCTGGCGGATGACTTCTTTTGCGCATGTTCGGGCTCAATGTGCGACAGGTTGCTGGTAAACAATCCTTTGAAGGGCAGCAAAGGGGTAGTCTTATGGTGCGCTCATCATTTTGCCGAAACCAGTCCTTTTCCGTGCTCTGTTCGCTCTTAATTTTGCTTGCAAGGAACATAGGCGGAGCATATGAGCAGCCGATTGCTTGAAACAGGGGAAAAGGGCGCACGTGAGGACTTTCACCTCGTTTCGTTTCACTACAATACACTTGGTTCAAAATCTCCGAGCCTTTCTGCGCCGCGACTGAAATCTGAGTTTCGGGTGTCGGTTGGGAATCGAACCTATATTTAAGCTTATGATTATGAAACGAGTGGCTTTGTCTTGGTACTCATACGACGCACAATAGTCGTTGTCATACTATGAACAATCGTCGTTGTAATCTTCATAGACGTATTCATTGCAAGGAATATTGGCTTGCTTGCGAGTGCATCAGTTTGAGCTTAGGCCATCCTCACCCACACGCCTGAAGCAATGCCTTCCGTGCCACCTGGCTGTTTTGGTGTTGTTGTCTACTACCGCTACTAGCACTACGACCACTACTCCCGCTACTGGCAGTGCTAGCACGACTAGCACGACTAGCACCGCCACCACTACTACTGCTGCTGCTACTACTAACCACCACGACGACTACTACTACTACTACTACTACTACTGCTACTACTACTACTACTACTACCACTACTACCACTACTACCACGGCGACGACGACTACTACTACCACCACTACTGCTGCTGCTAGTACTACTACTACTACTACTACTACTACTACTACTACTGCTACTACTACTACTGCTAAGCCTCTCGGCTCGCAAACGTGTAGTCCCC